GTGGAAATGACTTTAGGCTCCATCCATCAGCATTATCGTTGAAATAGTATATTTTAAGCCTATACTTGAGAGTTTTTTTATTTCATTCAGATGTTATAAAGTTGTTTGTGTTTAAAATAAACAACAGCAATATTGGTACGTGTATTTTGAAATAGAAAACCTAAGGCCCCTAGCTAAAGTGTTGCTATGCAAGTAGTATCACATAATGTGTTTAATTTTTTAATCATAAACCTATTTGAGGTAAAAAAATATTAAATTCTACATAAAACAGCCAAATGTCTATCTTTTTATTGAAAAAAAAATTCTTTGGTCACATTGGACACCTTAGATTTGCATTTTAACATTACAAACAAATATACATTGTTAATATTCAGCTGAGAAAATCAATTCATGAAATTAAAAGGGACTTGGGCGTTTAATAAAAACTTTTCTGGTATGCTTGTTTTCTTTCATCGTAAGTACGTTTTTCATTTTTATGAACTACTACAATGAGTGTGAAAATGCGTTATTTTTTTTTATAATTTCTAAAAATCTACAATGTTAATTACGTTTAAAATAAGCTTAAAATTTTTAAGAACATAAAAACAATATTGACGACAAAATTAATCATGATTTTGCTTTTCACACTTGAAATAGAATTTAATATATATGTATACTAGAGGCCCCCCGTCATGGCTTTGCCCGAGATTTACTAAATGAAACACCGTAGTGTGTTGACATGTAATAAGAAACGTTTTCAGTAAGAAATTTTACATATATTCCTGACACTTCTCAGAACAAAAATTTTCTTATTAAAAATATAATTGTTTAGAATTCATACAGCTTCTTTGGTACTGATAGAGAGAAAAATTACAAAGTCTAAAGCTTTCGAGCTAGTTAAAGAGATCTTTCCCAACGGCTCCTGGTATAACGTCAAAGACGTTGGTGTCTAAAGCCCCTTTTTTTCTATTACTAGGGTTCCCAGCCCTGCAAACAATAACTCCACTCGTAACGATTGCCAGTGAATGACTGACTTGGTTTAATAGTGGCCGTCTTTAGATAACATAGTCTTTGAGTCGACGAATCGCTTCCAGAAATGGTAGCAAGAATGTTTTTATCGACAAAGCAATTTAAACTTAGGTGGCCCTTAAAAATACCGATGAGATTGATGGTTAAGTAGGGAACGTAAATACTTAGTATGGCCCTGAAGAGGGCCAGTGGTGAAACTTCCAGCTATTCCTTATTATTATTCTTGATGATAAAAAGCTGGCTGTAGTTAGCTTGACTCTTATCCTTAAAGTCTCTGTGTACGGAGACTGTACTGAAGGGAGGTACGCCGCACAGTGCGGCAAAACGGACTTTTATGTACATAAATGAAATAGCACCGACTGCTATGGACCGATCGACATGATTTTTTTTGGAATGCACAAGGAATACCAGAAAAATGGTCCCGACCAGAAAAAGGTGTGGAGGGGATGGAAACTACCCTTAAAAATTGGAAAAAAGGTAGAATCGATACATAGTTTCGTCTAACTTATTTAGTTAAGACTTAACAATAATTAAATATAAACATTTTTATAAAAGATAGCAAGATTCTAACGAATTACATTGAAATGGGTCATTATAGGTCTCATGGGGGTTGAAATAGTACAAAACTACGCCTAAAATTTGAATTTTCGTACTGTAAAAAATAAATTAATAATAAATCTGTAAGTTGGCGTATAATTTATTTTATATTTCACGAATTTACCAGTTATGTTGTGAGCAAGTCCCGGAAAAAGTATCGCTTAGCGTTACAAGAGTTAAAAAATTTTGAAACTTACCCCAAAATTGCAATTTTTAGCATTTTTTTTTCGTCAAATAACTTATATTTTTTAGACTTTGTATAAAATTACCATAGACTTTACTAAGTAGAAATAAACCACAAATATGAGGATACACAGGGGTTGAATTAACTAAAAACTACCCCCACAATTGATATACATGCATATGTTTTTTTTCGCACTATTATGCTTCTGATAAGATCGTCATAAATTGTTTGTAAGATAACTGAAAACGAATTTATTAGTACCATTGTCATGCAGTCCATCATAACTTAATTGTTGAGCTGTGAACGGGTTGAAATCGTACAAAACTTCCCCTGTCGTTAAATATTGTTGGGATAATTTTAAGCGCATTACGTCTATTTTTCTTTGTTTATCTGAATTTGTTTTTAAGGGAGTACACTCATAACAAATTGACCAAGAATTAGGTGTGATAAAAAGCGAAATCGTACTTCTCCACTATACAGGGGAAAAATATCGTGAGACAACCTGTAAATTGGCTATTTTACCTATTATACAGGTAACATACATATTGTTCCCCCAACCTTTTCTTACGTTATTGTCGAAAACGATTTAACCTGTTATTTTACTAAACTATTACTATAAAGCTACACATGGGTTGATATGATAAAAACTACCCCTATCAGTAATATTTGCTCATTAAGTATGTGGCACTTTATATTCGTGCAAGTTCGTATGTAATTACTCTTATGATTATTTAAGATCAATATATTAGTAATGCAAATGTATAATACATCGTCGAATGTTTGTATTAGGCTATGCAGGATTCGTAATATCACAAAACTACCCCTGAACTGAAGAATTTTCGTAATGCTTGAAACAAAAGAATAGTATTGCTGAAGGTTAGTATATAATTATTTATAGTTTAGTTTACAACAAATTGATCAATAATTTTGTGACGAAATACTGCAGAGAAGTAATATTATGCCTAAGGGGGGTTAGAGTATACTAAAATCATTCCTAACATTGCAATTTTATAAATTATTGAAAATTAATTTGATATTTATCTTTAAGTTGGTTTATACATATTCATAAGGTCACTGGAGACAAATTAACTAGTAATTTCTCGACGATATGCTAAAATAAAAGTAATACGGAGCTACAAAGAAGTTAAAGTATAACAAAATCACTTCTATAATTTTACATAAACAAAGTCAAAATTAATTTTGTACCTTAAATCTATTCCAAAGCCGATGAATATATTGTAGAATTTTTTGTAATATTACAAATATTTTTTTAAAACCCAAAAATTTTTCATCATCACTACGGATTGTGTAAGACAATATGTATTTAACGTATTCTGTACTGATACGTTTAAAAAAATGCATTTTTAGGAGAGAATAACTAATGAAATGCTTTATCTACATTTTCAAATTAAATTCATTTTTTCACAAGGCTTTTAACTGTGTTTGCAGTCTTTTTTTAAGCTTTTCAAAATAATACGCATACCTAAATAACATTGAAGATTAACTTATGACTCATATACAAATATAATGGAAAACTTATGCATTAGAAAAAACTTCCATGTAATGTATGAAATAGTTAAACAAGGGTCTGGAAACATAAATGCTGATGTACGGAACCAAAGATTTTTTGTGCGGCAAATTCAAATCTGGCTATAGATTTACCCTATCGAGTCAGATTGTTGAGAAAACATAACCTAGAATTTCAAAAAATACTGTATTTGAACATATTTAAGGTTAGTCAATATCACAAAAAATTTATATTTAAAGTAAACCACTATCATTGCTTAAAAGTATTATTTTTTTTTTATCTAAACTTTATATTGCCAAGAAATCTTTTTCGTGACGAAGATGTAACAATTTGAAATTTTTTTCCCATATTTGAATGCTCTCTTCCGTATACATCAATTCAGGAACAAGTTTTATATTGTTATACATCGGTAAAAAAAATTTGTAGATGATTTAATGTAGAGTTGAAAAAAAGAAGTAGTGCTAGTGGCTTTTTTATAATACATGTTGTGGGGTGTAAAATAACCTCAATGATGTCGAAAAACAGTGTTTTTTGCACTTATTGGTCAGGATGTTTTAAAAACCTCACATAATAGAGCAATTGTAAAGCCAGATTCAAATTCAGCGCACCAGAAATCTTCGTAAAATAACTGGTACATATCGCTTCTACAAACTTTGATATAATTATAGATAAATGTACAAATTTGTTTCAAAAACAAAAATCATGTTTATATAAGGGTTAAGTATAGCTTACTTAACACCCGTTCTAAGCTTAATAATACTTTTCTGCAGTATTTGGTCACAAAATCATTGACTGATTTGTCCTAAGCATTATTAAAAATATTTTCAGACAAACTTATAAAAGCGGATGTCAGATGCTGTAAATTAAAAAAAAAAGTTGCATAGTTTTATGCATCAACAGCTAGTATTAGTTAAGAAATTGGTGTACGATCAGTTATAATAAACCCATTGTATCATTTATGGAAATAGTTTTTTTAATTTTTTCTAGGTTCATAAATTTTAAGTTTCTTGTTGAAAAAGCAAACAAAAATAATATTAAGTATGGTGGCCACCATACTGACTCACTATTTTGGGTTTTTCTGAAAAGATACTCGACAAGAAAACATACGTAGATTGAGCTTTAATTTACGTTAATAAATATTTTAAACGGCGACACAAAACTTTCAAGGCACCAGTGATCCAATACATACATTTTATTTCACGATATATATTTGAAATTGCACAGATACTATCAATAGTTTTGGTACTGAAGATTTTTTTTTAATTACTAAATTTTCAAGTAACGATAAATAAATTTAAACTTAAATATCTTTAAAATAAGGTACTTTTGAATTCCTACTCTTATATTTGCACGTTTTTTTAATGTCTAAAATTAAAAAATTTATTAAATGTAAGATATGCTCTACTATTATTTCAAAGCAGTTAATTTCAATGAACACGAAGTAGTTATGTACTCATCCAACCTATAATGAACTTAACATTATGATAACTCAAAGCTAACGAATTCTTTGAAGACCAAGAACTTTTACTTATCTGTACTTTCATTCAATAATTAAATATACGAAATCCCAAGCTATCAATCCTCAGTTATCTGATGTGCTTTGTTGCTAATACATTTACTTATTTATTATAGAATCAGTTATAGCAATCAGCAATAAAAAACACAAAAAATTTGAAGACTAACCTGGAGATGGAATGGATGATATTCCTTTTGAACCTTTTTTTTTTGAGCCAGCTTCAACTTGATTTATAATAGGTTGAGGATCTACTCCCCCACGATCAAAATAACATTCAAATGCTAATAAATGTTTGGTATAGTGCTTTCGTAACGTATAAGCTGCACTACTACTAGCACCTATACCCAAAAGACCAGCGATATCTTTCCAAGTTTTATTTTTCGTAACCTGAAAAATTTTTAAATATAAAATGATTAAATCAGTTAAGTAATTGTACTACAGCTTCAATACAGAAAAAAACATTTTTAAACGTTGATGTTTTTAATAAACAAAAAAACTACTGTTACAATAAAAACGTTTAAGCAATTTAAGTAGGTAAACGGTATCATAGGCTCTTGACCGATGTATTGTATGAATGACTTCAAATCCTTCGATCTCTTAGTAGCGATCTGTTACCAGATACATAAAATAAAACATGTATTTACATGGTAGTACAAAAACAATATGAACTGAAGGTTATAAATCGGCCAAAAAAATGTTTTCATCCATGAATGCCGAATGAGTTATCAGTCCTACAAAACTTGACAAACGGATCTAATATGTCAACCAAAAAATTATAAGTCTGTTACTCAGAAAACAAATACCAGCTTTCAGATTTTTTTTATTGCTAATCAGATACAAAGCTTTGATACCTTAACTGGATATTAAATAAAACTGGATATTAAATAAACTATTTTAACTGAGTGAAAAAACTAGATGTGTTGAATTAAATACAAGTTTACTTTATAAGACTATAGAATCTTGTGACTTAAGTTGATCAGTCGTATATTCTGATAATTTCAGGTTATGAATCTTATTACCACATCAACCATCTAAACTTAAATTGTCAAATGCCCAAATTTTTAAGCTTTTTAACCTAAGGTTTTGAGTTAATTATCAATACTTTTTTCATAAATTTGTGTTATCCATAGGTCTGCATAAACTGAAGTTAATAGAAAGAAGACTAATAGTTACAGGTTCTTTGATTTATTTGACTAAGAAAGGAACATAGCTGATTAGACGTAGTCCTATTGTTTAATATATTATAATAGCCTTATAAAAAACACTCCAAACATGCTTATGGCTAGTATGTAAAAATTAAACCCATTAAACAGAGCTCTAATTTAAATACCTCAAACAAACCCTGTAATGAAAATTTTTTGCATGTTCAGCTTCCTGTTAGAAATACGTGATAACTTTTTTTTCTCCAAGATTATATTAGCAGAATACAGTTTATTAAAAAATTTTTAAGCTTTAACAGCTCTAATTTTTTCATATACATTATTTAAAAAAATCATTGACACGTGTTTAAAGTACTAAATTGGAAGTTGCGATTCGATGTGGACTCATCCTTCCGACTGTATTTCTCGATAAAGCGTCCTCCTGAAGAATTGATAATTGCTATTATTTTTTGCATTTATTAGTTCTTGTCAACATTATTAGAAAAAAAAATTTTTTTGAGGACAATTTAAGAACCAACAAAAACCTCCATATTAAAAAAAAAACAAGAAGGGCAAGCAAAAAATAACAAGTTTTGTGAACTTTTTATAGGGTAGTTAATTTAAAATTAAGCTCAAGACTTATGTCTTAAAGTGATTCCAACTTATAACGAAACCATTTGTAAAAAAGTATATCACTTCTAACATGATTGAAATTCGTTCGAATAAAAATACTTGCACTTAAAAGAGTCTAAAATTCTACAAGCAAATTTTTAAAAGCATTCGATTCAGGGTCAAAAATTTCTGAAACATACTAATAACTTTCGTTCTCTCTTGCCTTGTAGATCTATTGGGAAGGTTTTCTTAATAAGGATACAAAATTATGTGCTTCTTCATAAGTACCTATGAAAAATCTGCTGATCAATAAATATTAATTAGTACTCGATAAGCTGTATAATAACAGTACAATACATACTAAGTAAAAATAGAGCTGACATTTATATAATACCTAAAATCAGTGACCACCCTGGATCCTTTCCAGCTGGTAATTTATTACAAAATTGCAGCGTTTCAGAAGTATAATAGACTCCTTTTTTTAAACTACAAAAATGCGATGAACAATAATAACTACAACTCATAACTCATTAACATAACTAATTTACATGGAAAAATATATATAATCTCACCATGAAACATTGAGAATTTCACTAGAGTGTAAATAAAAACATTACCAAAGCCAGCGTATAAGACGCTTTGTGTAGAGTTTTTGTTTTTCCAATTAACCCAACACTTTCAGATCGGAAACTCTATAAGTAAGACAGAAAACCTTCAACATAAATGTAAACCTATTAAAATTATGCTTATTGGACTAATAAATAAACGTAAGAGACAATTTCATTATGAAAGTAATGAAACTATTTGTTAACGTTGGATAATTTACTCTCTTGATAGGACGATCAATAAGATGTTTTATGTGTCCACAGAGAATATCTATACAAAAGAGCAGAAAGAAAGGGTGGTCAAATTTTAAGTCAAAAGGAAGCGTAATCTGCAAGTCAAGCCGAACAACGAGAATATTATCAGAAAAATACACGTATGCAAGAAAAGTAAGGTTGACTAAACTCAGATCAGTTAGCATACTATAAGTGTATCTGTAACGAAGCTTAAGGACTAACACGCCAATAACCCATGCACATTACACACATTAACTATTGGCAGTCAATGTGAATTAAATAACAGTTTTCGTTGGCGATATGCGAAAATGAACATAAGATATTTATTCAAATGAAAAGAGAAAATGATAAAGATATTAAAAACACTGTATTAGAAACAATTTTAAACTAATAATACACACTTATGTAAAAACGCAAGAGGCTCTGCTCAGTAATCATGTTAATTATTCATTAAATATTTGATAGTCACACACGACATAATGTGTTATTACTTTATAATGAAAACATTTAGTAAGAAAAATATAATTCACAATTAGTTGTCAACCAGTATTAATAAGACTATCTTTTTAACAAAATATAATTTTAAAATAATACTCAGTATACATTTTATAAATGGTACATTACGTCACTAGAACACAAAGGAAAAACATGAGCACTCGAAGGCCATGGTTATTGTAACTATGTTGATGCCCGAGTTGCGTATATTGTTTTTCTTACCATGGGAGCAAAGTGCGATTTTGTGTCCCTGGGCACACTTTACGCCCAGTAAATCACTTTAAGCCCCAGAGCAGAAAAGTACTTTAGGCCTGGAAGGCACAAAAAACTTTTTTGCCCGTGGGCCTGAAGTGATTACAAGGGCGCAAACTGTGGCATCACGACGCGAAGCCGCAGTTACACCTTGTGCCTATCGTAAGAAAGTAATATTTACGTGTATTAATGTTTTATTCAAAATTTGATATATTAAATACTGTATTATTTCTATAAAATAATTTAAAAATTTTCTAATACGTATGTATTTAAATGATCATACGTCAAAGAATAATGTAAGAGATAGGCTGGCTTGTTTCTTTAAAAGAATAAATTACCTGACACATGTATTCATTCATTATAGAAATATAATAACACGAATTTCATATTACTTTCGTGAGCTATGAGGGCTTCTGAAGATGGATCGTAGAAACACGACATTTATATTGTTAAACTTATACGAATTTTTATTATTTAATGACGAAAAAAAACTCAAATAATTACAAATATCATTATCATGTCAAGAAGATACATGCAACAAATTTGAATTTCTCAAAGTTCTTATAATTTAAAAAAAAACAACACACTAAAATATAATGTATGGTATAAAAAAAGAACCTTAAAAAATTATTTAAAAGTTTAATAATGAAAACAAAAAAAAAAAAAAAA